TCTTCTTCTTCTTCTTCTTCTTCTTCTTCTTCTTCTTCTTCTTCTTCTTCTTCTTCTTCTTCTTCTTCTTCTTCTCCCCCTCTTCCTCCTCCTCCCCCTCTTCCTCCTCCTCCTCCTCCTCCTCCTCCTCCTCCTCTTCTTCTCCTCCTCCTCTTCTTCTCCTTCTCCTCCTCCTCCTCCTCCTCCTGGTTTCTTGGTGCATCAGCCCATATATAAAATGTTAGCTGCCATACAACAAAAGCATCGATTATAAACAGCTGTTGTGCTACACCAAAACAGACAGCTTTATATCTGTTTACCCTTTTTATATCTTTACCACCTGGCTGTCTATCGGCATCTCCTTTCAGATGGAAGCCCTGGGAACATGCAGACTTAAAGATGTGGCCAGAAAGGCGACATTCGCAGTGACCCATGCTGTAACAACAGTCTGCTAGAATAGAGGTAGAAGAGACCCAGATTTCCAAGCAGGAAACCTTTCAGGCAGGGGAGACCCATTGTTCACCTTCTAGATGTAGAACCTGCAGCCTTTTTTAGTCTTTATTCCCAGCATCTTTCATCATTGGCCACACTGGTTTGGGTTGAATGAACGAGGAAAAATGAGCACCAACAAGAACTTCGCATCCCTTGATTAAGTTCCAGATAATATGTACAAATTAGGGATGCGGTGGCTCAGCGGCTATGCTGCTGAGCTTGTCGATCGAAAGGTTGGCAGTTCAGCAGTTCGAATCCCTAGTGCCGCGTAACGGGATGAGCTCCCGTTCCTTGTCCCAGCTTCTGCCAACCTAGCAGTTCGAAAGCACGTCAAAAATGCAAGTAGAAAAATAGAGACCACCTTTGGTGGGAAGGGAACAGTGTTCTGTGCGCCTTTGGCGTTGAGTCATGCCGGCCACATGACCACGGAGACGTCTTCGGACAGCGCTGGCACTTCGGCTTTGAAACAGAGATGAGCACCACCCCCTAGAGTCGGGAACGACTAACACATATGTACGAGGGGAACCTTTACCTTAATATGTAGAACTTGGCTGGAAAAGATCTGAGGAGGGAAAGACCATTGTGAATGGCTAAACATTTTGAGAGTAGAAATTGCTCTTCTAAAGGGCCTCATTTGGAAGCGGAAAGAAGGACCATTGTCAAATCATAAAGCAGGTGCAGCTCTGACCCTGGATACCTATCGTGGAAACCCAATTGTTTGTTCATTTGCTTACATACAAGTTGTCCTCAACTTACAATGGTTCATTTAGGGACTGTTTGAAAATACAACGCCATTGGTGGGGGAAAAAAGCCACTTATGGCTGTTTTTTCACATGACGGTTGGAGCATCCCCATGCTCGGTTGATCAAAATTTGGACTCCAGGCCACTGACTCGCATTTATGACGGTTGCAGCGTTCTGGGGGGGGGGGGTGTCACGCGACCCTCATTTGCGACCTTTTGACAAGCCAAGTCAATGGGGAAGCCAGATTCATTTAATGACGGTGTTTCCTAACTTAACAACTGCAATGAGCACTGTGGCAAGAAAAGTTGGGAAAACGGAGCACAAGTCCCTGAACAACAGTCTCCCTTAGCAAGGGAGATTTTTGGGCTCGATTGCGGTCCTAAGTCGCAATAAATAACTACCTGTATTTATTTGACCTAGCAGGATTGGTCTTTGTGCATAAATAATAAAAAAAAAAAAGAAATGTTTGTCTATATGCAACAGCAACTGAAATGTTTAATTACAGCCGGAGAGAATTCGTTCTTCTGTGGAATCGTTCCTGTTCTCCGCATAGTAGTTAGCACTGGGAGTTGTTTAGAAAAAGTCGGGATATTTAAGCTTAGAAGAGAAACGCATTTGAACGTCTGTGCAAGGAATAATAATAATGGATGGTTCTTGTAAAGGGAGAGGAAAGGAGGAAGGAAAGGCAGGGGAATAAGAAGGAGGGGTGCTGGAGGAGAAAGTTTATGCTGCTTACCACGGTGAATGTGCTCTCTATTTTTCTTGTTTTGGAAAACAGGAAAATGTTTCAGTGTAAAAGCTGATAATGAGAGCACAGGGGACCAGATAAAACTATTCCCCAGGTATTTTTTACTGGAAATGTTACTTTGGCCCTTGGTTTGCATGCATGCCCTCTCGTCGGCGTACGGCGTCTCCAATGCTAAAGAAATATTTAGAACGGAGTAGAGTTGTGGCCAGTGATTGTATTCATCCGGTTCCGGCGAATCGGTACCGGCGACCTGTGGTTGAGATTGCTCTATGCAGGCTAATTTCTGGGAGCCAGATCAGTATTAACAGAATTACAGAGTTGGAAGGGACCTTGGAAGTCTTCTAGTCCAACCCATGCTCAAACAGGAGACCCTATTGTATTTCAGACAAGTGGTTGTCCAGTCTCTTCTTAAAAAAAACCTCCAGTAACGGAGCAACCACAACTTCAGAAGGCGAGCTGTCCCACTAATTCTAAGTTTGAAAGGAATCCAAAGCATATTGAGAGAAATTCCTTGCATTCAAAAGAGATTTAGTTGTAATTAGAATATTAGACTAATGGAAAACATTTGTAATGGACTTGGCGAGATTGAAGACAGAAGACATAGAGAAGAGAAGAAATGTTTGAAGATGACACCAAAATGTCACATGGAAGAAATGAATGATTTATTTATTTATTTATTTATTTTATTTATTATTTTTATATGCCGCCCTTCTCCGGAGTCTCAGGGCGGCTTACAATGCATTAAGCAATAGCCTTCATACTTTTGTATATTTTACACAAAGTCAGCTTATTGCCCCCACAAACCGGGTCCTCATTTTACCCACCTTAGAAAGGATGGAAGGCTGAGTCGACTTTGAGCCTGGGGAGAATTGAACTCGCAGTAATTGCAGGCAGCTGGATGTTAAATGGTGCCTTAGTAGGAGGCATTAGCCTCCTACGCCACTCAAGCTCCTGGATGTACTAAATGTTTGTTTGTCTTAAAAAATAATAAAAAAAACTTTATTAAAAAAAAGAGAGAGAGATTTAGGAACCCAGGAAAGCTGTGAACCCGGGGAAAAAGTGCGTTTCAGATCGCATCTGAAACACTGCATCCAGTTTTGGTCACCACATTGCAAAAAAGATGTTGAGACTTTGGGAAAAGTGCAAAGAAGGGCAGCTAAGATGATTCAAGGCCTGGAGACTAAAACACATAAAGAACAGTTGCAGGAATTGGGTATGTCTAGTTTAATGAACAGAAGGACTAAGGGGGACATGATACAGTATTCCAGTATTTGAGGGGCTGCCCCAAAGAAGAGGGGGTCAACTTATCTTCCAAAGCCCCTGAAGGCAGGACAAGAAACTACGGATGGAAACTCATCAAGGAGAGAAGCAACTTAGAACTAAGGAGAAACTTCCTGACAGTTAGAACAATTAACCAGTAGAACAACTTGCCTCCAGAAGTTGTGAATGCTCCAACACTGGAAGTTTTTAAGAAGAGGGTTGGATAACCATTTCTCTGAAATTGGTTGGAGGGTTGGACTAGAAGACCTCCAAGGTCCCTTCCAACTCTGTTATTCTATTCTATTCTATTCTATTCTATTCTATTCTATTCTATTCTATTCTATTCTATTCTATTCTATTCTTCCTCCTCCTCCTCCTCCTCCTCCTCTTTTCCTTTCTACTTTCCTTCCTTCCTCTTTTCTTCCTTCCTCACTTCCTCCCTTCCTCCCACCTTCCTACCTTCTCCATTTCTTCCTTCCCTCTTCCTCCTCCTCTTTTCCTTCCCACTTTCCTTCCTTCCTTCTTTCCTCTTTTCTTCCTCCCTCCCTCCCACCTTCCTACCTTCTCCATCTCCTTCCTTCCCTCTTCCTCCTCCTCTTTTCCTTCCCACTTTCCTTCCTTCCTTCTTTCCTCTTTTCTTCCTCCCTCCCTCCCTCCCACCTTCCTACTTTCTCCATCTCCTTCCTTCTCTCTTCCTCCTCCTCTTTTCCTTCCCACCTTCCTTCCTTCCTTCCTTCCTTCCTTCCTTCCTTCCTTCC